TGATGTCCATTAATATATGTCCATATATTCAATGATATCCATATAATATTAGAACTCAAATATTATTATGATAAGTATATAGAATCAAAATGTTGATATTATTAAATGAACATATAATTGATATCCATACAGTGTATATTCATTGGCATTAATATAATATTAAATACTTCTTATATTAAGACGATATGTTTTAAAGTTTAAATACATGTATTTATATTAAATACATTGAATAAATAAAATTGATGATGATAAAATGTTCGTTATTGATTTTCTTGTTCTATACATTTAAGATAATCATAGATATTAATTTTATGCATAGAAATATTATTATTATATATCGAAATTTAATCACATAATATTATAGTTCAATATTATTTTACCCACAGCTATACCTATATACATGTTGTTCATTTTACAAAGTTGCCAGGTTATTATTTGTATAGTTAATATATAAACTATAAAGATTGATACAATAGGTCCGCGTACATACGTTTTTAACTTAGTAATTTAAAAAAAATTGATTGAGGAAACATACACACAATACACGTTTTTTTATTGTAAAGGTTTAAAGTTCAAATTGTATAAAAATTAAGTACTAAAAATCATGAAAATTATTAAATTATTTTGTATACATACTAAAGAATTTATAAAACAATACAACACTCTTTAAAGATTATCATAATATCATAAGTATTTTAAATTTTTATACAATTTGAACTTTAATATATTATATTATTGTCACTGAAACACAAAAATTTTAAAAATTAATTACCTAGCATTAGGTGCTCACATGGGGGGTGGGTAGGTGGGTGGGTGAGTAGGTATAGACGCCTATGGTTATATAGGTACATAGATAAAGTATAGGCATTTTAAGTTAATTACAGTTACAAACAACAGTTCAAAAGAACGTTTTTTTAAATAAAAAAATGGGTGGGTGGGTGGGTAACTTTTGTTAGTTGCATGTGCTCTCAAAATATCTCTGTGCGCCACTGCATATTGATGATAATAAATTGATTTATCGATTTATTGAATTCAAATTTAACAGATCCCTATTATTGTACATCAGAGTGTTCACCACTTGTCTATTTTTTTTTAATTGATATGTTTTAGGAAATGAGTGATTCAATATTATGTTCTTGATTGATAGAAGACCATGAGTTTTGTTTTTTCTAATCAAACTGTGACCATTTTTCAAATAGAGTACGAGTAAGAGTAAATGAATAAGTGATTTAAATATTCTTTATTTATTGGACAATCAAATAAAAATATACCTACGTATAAATATATATTTTTTAATTTTTCGATTTGGCTATATATTATATAAATTATGGGATCCCATCCCAATATTTAAAAATATCTAAAGGGAACCCGGTGATTGCCGGGTAGCTGGACTGGCCAGACAGACACTGAAGATACTCATCGACAGAGGCGTTCTCAGGATATTTCAATGGAGGGGGATGAAAAAAATGGTTTCAAAATAAGCCGTACCTAAGGGTTTTGCCTCACAACTCCCATATTATAATAATGAATATTAAAAAAGAGGGTAAGTGGATGTCACTCTGCTGTACAGTAGATTACAATACTTAGTCACTGTATAATGGATTGTATTAAATTTGAATTCAATGATATCATATCATTGTACACGAAAAACGATTCTGAGCGGAGACGGTTTGTCAGTCTGGATATTTTATATTGTAATTATATTTTATTATAGCCTGTAAGTTGAATTAATAATATTATAAATTACGATAAAATAACTAAAATCATTATTTTTTTTTTATTTGTTACAATGGTGATAAACAAAGTGTTAGAAATTGAAATCACATTTTTAGAGGTTTTTGAAATTTGTCGGTGAAATTGTAATGTGTCATTAAATAAATATTGAGAAAATTGAAAAATTACCTCTCTAAAGTACGTATATCATCTTGATAAAATTTGCTAAAAGAAAAGATATACTATATGTTAAAAGCGAAGAACTGCTTCTGGTAGAAATTTTTTATGCAGGATAAAATAAAAATAAATATAAACAATATTGAAAAACCAATAGATCCCTCACTCCGCTCAGAATCTAATAATATTGATAGTAATATAGTTGATAATATCAAATAATCAATTCAAGTCATATTTATTGTTCTTTTTATTTAAACTATAAAAGAATGTTATGAATCAGTTTAAATCAGGAATGGAAAATGTTTTTAATTTTTGCGTTTTCGTTTTTGATTTCGTAACAAATTTTTTTTCTGTTTTTGGGATTTTTTGTTATGGTTTTTTGTTTTTGTTTTATTCATTGTTTTCGTTTTTTTTCCGTTTACTAACGTTTTTTAAAAACGTTTTCCATCCCTGGTTTAAATTATTTATTTTATTTTATCACTGTGGTGTTATCATTGTGTATCTTACCTTTACATTTTTTCTGACGCTGGGAATTTATAAAGTTGACGGAGTGATTGTTTACAAAAATACAGTACAAATCAATTGTAAAGCGAATTGCCTGTTACATGTTATAATTATCAGTGATAAATACAGTGAAAACTCTTTATAACGAATCCGAAGGGACCAAGAGATTTCTTTCGTTATAGAGAGTTTTTGTAATAGAGAGAGTTTAAAAAAAACAACATTTTAATTATTTATATATAAAGGTATGTAATATTATATATCAAACACATTATTATTTTTACATTATATTATAAATATTTACGTATTATATTAAATTACATATTATTATTATTATTATTATTATTATTATTAATATACATCATGCATATTAAATATAATTTAATTTTTATACTATATTTATACTTTATTTAAAATAGTCTGTCATCTTAGTTTGGACTTTTTTATTTTGCCAATACTGTTTTTGTGTTTTAATAAATGTATTTTTAAATATTGTTTCGTTGTTGAGAGTGGCTAATCCGTTATAGAGAATGAATTGACTAATGGGTTATATAGCAGACCAACCATTATTATGTAATGTTTACGTTATATAGAGTTTTTCGTTGTAAAGAGTTTCGTTATAAAGAGTTTTCACTGTAATAATATTGTTTATGGCTGGTGGAATCAATAATTACGATAAAGAAAAATTGCAAAAAATAAAATAATAACTACCAAGTCAATATTGAAAACACAAACACATATCAAAAGTAGACAAAACGTGTATTACTAATATGTAAAAAAATAAAGAACCTTGGGGGGGGATCTATCCCCATATCCCCCCCCCCGTGAGAACGCCCATGCTCATCGATGAGATAAGGAATAATAATATACTGGCATATACTATAGTATATGAGGCACCTAGAACACAAAGGGTATATAAGCAACATTATTTGTATTTCGTAATAATTAAGGTCAAAGTTAACACATTCTCTCAAATTACAATAAAGGATATTGTTTAATTTAATTATTAAATTGTTATCTGTACACATCATCACCTATATCTCTTTACCACCAAATAAAATGAAAAATTCTTAGTTCAGCTGTGTACTTACCTCAGATTTTTTAAAAATGTCGCTTATACCCCTTGTGTTCTAGGCGCCTCAATTATATATATATAGCTGGAGTGATAATTTTTTATCTGAGCTAATAATAAGCTTCAATGTGTAGTAAAACGATCGGTCCATTTTATCATTTAGTCTATAGTTATTATTATACCCTTGCTGGGTCGCTGTATACGGAAAATATTACAAATTTTAATTTGTCATTTCTTTGGTATGAACTATCAATGATCATATTGCTCTGAATTTGCGGTTAATCTTGATGTGGACTTGTGTATTTACAAAATAGAAAATGTAGATTATTAGATACAATTTTTTTTGTAAAACTAGTTTAGGTGATCCATGCTCGTTTCCGGGTATTTTTTTTATCTCAAATGTTTTAATGTTTATACCAAATTTCATATAAAGTTTAATAAATGTTATATCGGGTACATTATTATCAGTCAATTTTTTTTGTTAGCTGATTTATCTAGTCTTTTGCTATTGTTCGTAAACTTGTATTATACCTATATTATATTATAGTACAGGAGCGTATTTTTTACGATGGATATGGGGACAAATCCGCCCCCATGGCTCTTTAAATACATGTCTATTATTATATTATAATTATTACATCGTAAATTGTAAGCTAAAATTCTTGTCTTCCGCCCCCTACAAAAAATACTAAATAGGTACGCCACTGTTATAGTATTTGATAGTTTATTATATAGTAGAATAATAATATATGTGTATATTATATTATTATTGTTGTCCGACCGTAGACTGTGTACAATAGTGGCTCTCAACCTTTTTATATTCGAGGAACAGTTTTATAATTAAAATTTAAAAATTTTGACAGCACATCGATAAAATATATTGCACTTATACAAGTTGTTACTTGTTAGAGTGAGAAGCACTATATTATAAAAGCAGTCTGTTTCTCATCCACATTACATAAGATAATATGATGGACTATCTAATCTTTAATCTTTTATTATCTACGGTATAAACCACGGTAGATTATCTACCGTCTTTTAAAAACTCTATGCGTCCGTGGTCAGTATTGAACGCACGGAGTGCGGGAGTGGGGTGTAAATGAATTTGTTGGGTTTGTGTAGCTTAGCGCTGGTATCGGTAATCGGTATACCTACACAGGCTGGTTTTCGACGGCCGCTGCTGGTTATTTTTAACTCGAATATTATTATTTATTATTTGTCAATATTGCTCACGTAATTTTGTTACTAAATAATAATTATTTCGTACATTCATCGTCATCATATTTTAAGGTTATAAACTGTTATGTATTAGCGTGTATTACACATTTTTGTTATTTACAAAAAATATTGTTCTGTGATTTCGTTTTATGATTTCGTTCGCGTATACAAGCTGTTTACTATAGTGTCTTCAGATTACGTGTTTCAAGTATTGTTCTATAGCAACAGCATAGCAGAATATTATACTGGTAAGTGACCAACTTTTAAGAACCTAATTTTATTAATATACGTACATTATAATATTGTACAATAGTCAATAATGCAGAGAAGAAATAATTTAAGTAAGTCTACCAAACGTAGGAGATTATTAGACGAGAAAAACTACATCAAAACATTGTCGCATAATGATAGTTTTATTACTTTAAACTCCGTAGAATTAAATAATACCTGTACTATGGTAACTAACCCTTTGATAGAACCAACTACAAATTATACAGACATTGATCATGTACCACATCATTCTCCATCTGTTGGTTTTGATTTACCTACCAATAATGTTGATCAATTATTGTTAAATAATGATTCTACATCATTATTGCTAGGGAATGGCGATGAAAATGTTGATCCAATTGAAGAAGTAACTAGATCTAGAGATATAATTGAGGATATAGTTCAATGGGCCTTAGATCAAAATATACCTAACAATAATTTTGATAAGTTATTAAATATTTTAAGAAAACATAAATGTTTTGAACATTTACCAGCTTCTTGTAGAACTTTATACAAAATGTACTCTGGGGTATCTTATGAAAAACCTGTTGAAGTTCAAATAGTTAGTCCAGGAATATATTACCATTTTGGCGTGGCTGATAACATCAAAAAATATATTGATTTTAATTATTTAGAAGATACAATTAGATTAGTTATAGGCGTAGATGGCTTGCCTTTGTCGAAAAGTTCAGGCAGTTGTTTTTGGCCTATTCTTGGTTATTTGAGCAGACAGCGTATGCAATCTGTATTTCTCATAGGAATTTATTGGGGAAATAAAAAACCAGATAATAGCAATGCATTTATTAAATATTTTGTGGATGAAATAAAACAACTTATAACTAATGGAATTAATGTTAAACAGTACACTGAAAATAACACATTAATTGATGTTCATAAAAAAGTTACTGTTGATGCATTTTGTTGCGACCAGCCTGCAAAAAGTTTTTTACTTAATACAAAATCCCATTGTGGTTTTTATTCTTGTACCAGATGTACTGTTAAAGGTAAATACTTAATGAGGCGAGTGTGTTTCCCTAAATTGAATTGTTCAAAACGGACACATGAAGATTTTGTAGGTAAAATTCAACGCCAGTATCATAATGATAAACACCAAGTAACAGAAATACTTAATATTCCAAATTTTGATGTAGTAAATCATTTTAGTATTGATTACATGCATGCTGTATGTTTAGGAGCAGTCAAGAAAATATTAATGCTTTGGAAAGGTGATACGATATACAAACGCAATATTAATAAACAAAAGTTAAATTCTCTTCAAATTAAACATATTTCTGAACGTTTAGTTTCTTTTAGAAATAGTGTTCCATGTGAATTTGCCCGTAAGCCAAGATCACTAGAGGAATTGCCTAGGTTTAAAGCCACAGAATTAAGATTGATTTTATTATACTTGGGACCGCTGTCGATTCATTCTATTGTATCAAAAAAGATTTATAAACATTTTTTAAGCTTAAATATTGCTATGACAATATTTTTGAGCCCCAACTATAATATGTTAGCATCTTCAGCTAAATCTATCATGAATGATTTTGTTAAACAATTTGCATATTTGTATGGAAGTCATTTTGTTTCCCATAATATACATTCTTTAATTCATTTATATGATGACTATAATTTATATGGACCACTCGATAATGTTAGCTGCTTTAAATTTGAAAATTACATGTGTGGATTAAAAAAAATGGTCCGCAAAAATGACAAACCTCTTCAACAAGTCGTAAAGAGATGTCAAGAACGTTCATTGTCATTGAAGACTAATTGTGAAAATAATGTAAATAATATTCCTATAAAACAGTTTAAAGTGGAACATAGTGAAGGTCCACTTACAAATGAGACTTCTTCTCCTCAGTACAAAATATTAATATTAGATCAAATCAAAGTTAAAATACATGTTAATGCTGATTCATATGTTGGCTTAAAAACTAATGGAAATTTACAAATTATTAAAGTAGTTAATATTTGTTACTGTCAACAATTAAAAAAACAAATTTTACTAGGAAGACAATTCCTTAAATTGGAATGTTTTTTTAAAGAACCTATAAAGAGCAATACAATGGGTATCTATAAAGTCAGTGACTTTTCAAAAACTATATGTATATGGAATATTGAAGATGTAATGACCAAATACATGATTTTATCTCCTGATAATATCGACATAATGGTTGCTTATCCAGTCATACATTTTAATAATTAAAAACCTAATATTTATGATAATTTATACTTATTAAATATCATACTTTATTTTTATTTGTATATATATTCTGTAAAAACAATTATTATTTAGTTCATATAGTTTTCATATTATTATATAGATTTTAGTATAATTAAATCTTTTACTTTTTAGTTTTAACTTTACCAGTTAACTTCAATTTTTCATTAAAACTGAATTAAAAAATGTGGAAAGTCGTTCATTTTTTAAATGACAACTCAGTTGAGCCTGTGCCAGACTATTGGCTCAATAGAGAGAACAATCGCTGTGCCTGGCCAAACAACAATCATTTGGCAAAAAAAATGAGGGACAATCGAGTCAAACCCAATAGTTATGATTTTACCAATTATAAATGCAGAGTTCTGTCTCAAAATATTTGTAAGTATACATATTTGATTATAGTTAATATACCCACTATAATTATTATTATTATTAAATATCTGTATATAATTGTTTTTGTTTTTACTGTATATATATATATATACTGTAAGCGTAGAAGCGCAATTTCTATTCTTAAGTCACTATAAAATCATTAAATATTGACTTAATTAGCGAGTTAAATTTAAAATTTAAAATTTAAAAGTCACTTCTTTCCATACACATTTGGTTTTGTTTAAAATAATTTATTTATTTGAACACTGAATAAAGTGATGTTTTTTAGGATCAATTTAAATAGATAATTAATTATACAATATCAGTGTGATATTGATTACATTATATTATATTATATTACATTATATTTGCAATATTATTTACAATTTTGTGTATAGTGTCCTTAAATGAAGCAATAAACAAAGCCAACAAAGCACAATACACTACAGAGTTATCAGACATTGAAAAAGGTGCTAAAAATGTTAAAAGAAAAAGAAAAACTGAGTGTTTTATAAACAGCGACCAAGTTCAACCAAGTAATTTTAAATCTTTAACTATGACACATATATAACAATAATTGTAAAATATATGTATTATATATAATTATTTAATTAGTAGGTATGCTTTTATTATTACTTATATTATATATTTATTATTTATATTATATTATGTATAATTATGTATATATATGTTTGCTTATTCAGAAATATTAATAATTAAAACTATTGAACAGGTAAAATTACAAAAGCTACTAAGCGTATTTTTAAAAAAGAAGGCAGTATTTCTAAAAATCAAAATGATGAACAAGATAAAGATTATTATTCTCAGAACAAGAATATTAATTTTGCACAAATTGACAATGAAGAAAATTCAGAAATATGTTTGTATTTAATACCTATAATAGTTATAAATAAATGTGAGTATATATTTTTGGTAATTGTTATTTCTTAATGATTAGCGTCGGCAGTATCATCAGTTGATGATTCAGACTTAGATAAAGACTACTTGCCAAATATTGTACAAGATGAATGTAAAGAAAAAGATAAAGATGATTTTTTACAATTAAAGGGTATGTATAATACTTTATACTTTTACAAACTAAAAATCAATATATATTTATTTAGCTCAATTAAAATATCTTAATTATTGTGAATTATTGTTTTAGATTATAAGTTTATAAGTAATGATGATTATTCTTTGACTATTGAGTGTAAACAATCAAGTCATAATCAACAAAATGGTAAGACCAGAATAATATTTAAAATTCAATGCATTTTATTGAATATATATATATATATTTTTTAGCTTCTGCAGTTAATACTGAATCTGTTGCTCCTTCTATTCTTAAACCCGGGGATGAATGTGATGATGTTGGCACAAACCTCATACCCAATGGTGAACATTTTAATCTTTATTAGCTTTTACTGTCATTTTTATAAATAATGTATCATACTTTACTTGTTATTATGTATTATTTTATTATGTTTAGTAGCACAAACTATAATGATGACTACACCACCGGGCCCTGTGAAAACTTGTAAGTATATAAAGTAGTAGTTTCTAGTAGTTTATTAAAATATATTAATCTGTTTTTAAAGTGTATTATTAATTAGTTTTTGGACATACTATACATAATATATAAATATACTTAATTATTAGGTTAGTAGTATAATTTATTTTGATTAACAGCAAATTATCTTAAAGCAGTGATGAGCTACTTGGCATATATCAAATGTGAAGTGAATAGAATTTCCGAAACACAGCAAGAAATAATTGAAATACTGAACAACAATAACACTCAAATTTTACAAAAAACCACTGATTTATTGAACTGTGATAACAATGAAATAGACTATTTTGTAATGAACTGGCCTATTACTGATGATGATGGTCTTTTAGAACTTGAAAATAAAATGAAAGACAGAATCTTTTATAAACTAGTTGTACGTATATATAATATTTTAATATTAAGTATTTATATCTCATTTTTGGATGTGTATGTTACAGGTTAGTGAGCTGACCAGGCTTGGAGGTAAAACTCTGTCAAGAATCATCAACAAGATGTTGAAGAAAGTTTTTGACGATACCATATTGATTAAGTTTACCTATTACGGTTTGAGAAACAAAGACAATTTTCATACGCTGTCCATTAATAAAGCTATTTTTGGTAATTAATTTATAAACATTAATAGTTTTTCAAAATTCCATCACATCATGACTTGTTAATTATTTGTTTTTTTATTTATTATTTATAATTCAATAGATAAAATCATTAATAAATTGTTTGTATATTTTTCACAGATGCTGTAAGAAAATCTAAACAGAAATCTGTTTCAGATGAGGAAATCATCATATCGATTGGGAAATATATGACTGGAGCTAAAGGCAGAATAGAACAACAAAACAACAAAAAAAATAATTCTTAGATACATGATTTCTTTTTACCTTTAAAAATTTAATGATATTATAATTTCTTAATTATTAATTTTTATTTTATATATTCTTATAATAATAAGAAAATTAAAACTATATAATATATTATGAAGTAGTTTTTATACGTAATTTTTATATCTACCTTTTCTTTTATGTATAATAATAAGTTAAACTGTTGATATAAACAACTCAAAAAAGAAATTCATTTATATAATTTTTATTTTATATATTCTTAATAATAAGAAAATTAAAACTATATAATATATTATGAAGTAGTTTTTATACATCATTTTTTATATCCATACCTTTTATTTTATGTATAATAATAAGTTAAACTGTTGATATATACAACTCAAAAAAGAAATTCATTTATATAATTTTTATTTTATATATTCTTAATAATAAGAAAATTATAAGTATATAATATATTATGAAGTAGTTTTATACGTCATTTTTTATATCTACCTTTTCTTTTATGTATAATAATAAGTTAAACTGTTGATATATACAACTCAAAAAAGAAATTCATTTATATAATTTTTATTTTATATATTCTTAATAATAAGAAAATTAAAACTATGTAATATATTATGAAATAGTTTTTAAACGTCATATTTATCTATTTTATGTATAATAATAATTAGTTTATTGCATACACATAGATGTGCTAATTCAAAAGTTTGATTTGTATTTTTGATTTTGTTTTCTAAATTTATTAAAATGATACATTGATTATGAATTATTTTTATTATTTTATTTTATATTTATAATACATTTTATAATTATAGCTACAGTTATTATTATGAATTGATGTGTAAGAGATAATTAACTAATGGAAACGGATATTTATAATATATCTGGTTGATATGTGAGTGCATATTATATACATCGGACATTTGAATTTGGATATAACTTGAATATGAAAATATATTAAAAATACATCTGGTGGATGTATATGTGTTGATATACATTAGATATTTATATTTGGGTATAAGTTGAATATACAAATATATTAACAATATATCTGATCAATATATAAGTGTTGATATTGATTAAATGTTTGTAATTGGATATTAGTTTAATATCAAAATAATATTCATAATATATCAATTCTATATCTTGTCAATATATTTATATGGATATAAATAAGATATATTTATTCTGATATTTATCAGATAAAAAAAGTTGGTTCATAAGACATTTATATAATATCCGGTGTATATATAAAGTTTTGTAAGGAAGTTAATAAAGATATTCTGTGGATATCAACATAAAATTAATAATATCTCATTGATATTTATTCAATATGTTTCTGCTATGTGGGCAGGGGTTAAAGTGGGGGGGGCAGGAGGACTCAGTCCCTCTACCTCTGACGGTGGTTAAAAAGCGTCCCATTTAACAAATTGTACAAACATAAAATTTTATATGGAACGAACGCTTAAAACTATATGGAGACATTAGTCTCCTCTGGAATTTTTTTCCACTTTAACCCCTGGATATAACTGTCGTAGAGCGGTAGCTTGTAATACTAAACATATTATAAAATATTTAATATAAACACAGAATATCATATCTATATAAAATCATTAAATTGTTGATACATTTAATAAACTAATAAAAAAAGTACATAATAATTGTAATATTTATCAAAACTATTGTTACATGAACAAACAATTTTTCATCTATTTTTATTCACTTTCAATGGGAAAAAAATACTTTTTTGAACAAAACTGTGCCTTATCATTTAATATAGGTAATCATTACAACGAAATAGATGGAAAGAAAAAAAGTTAAATTTAACACCTATTCAAATTGTATATGATATAATCAAAAGAACATAAAATAATTTGTCACACTGATGAATTTGTATGACATCAATTTTGACTGTAAATATATTATTTCGAGTAGAACATATTATAGGTAAGTACCTATAACTAGAGATACCTACTAAAAGATACAGTGATTATAGAAAAATTACAACAATGAAAATAAAACATATATAGCTGGGACGATGACATAATGTAAGTAGGTACGTGATTTTTATTAGATTTACCGAATTATTAATTTATTTTTTTACATTTTTATGTTGTGTTTTTTACTTTATTATGTATAATATTATTATGAATTTTTTTCCTTTTTTTTATTAAACTTGTGGTTTTAGGTATAATATATTATGTATT